TATCCTGAGTGTAGGCTTCTCCGCTGCCTTTTTTTTTTTTTTCTTTGCGAGCCTCACAACCCCCTTTGCCCCAGCGTTCACAAAAGCTGGCTGCCCCCTGCGCGTGGCGGAGATCGCTGGGTGGCGTGCGCATCTGTTCCACGCAGGGCACGAAAGGCGCTTCCCTCGCAAGCAAAACGATGTCACAAGTATTGTCACAAGAGCTACGCGGGTGCCCGTGTGTCATCGGAGCACAGAACATGTACCCTCATGGTTCCGGATTTGGAACAGAGGTTCTCGAGTTAACATGGCTTTGTCACAAAGCGTCCCAGCTCTCGGCATTGGCAAAGCAGGGTGGAGGCTTTGCCTGTCCTCCACGACGAGATCAAACCGAAGCAGCCAAGCCATCTTAACCCTTCGTGCAATCCACCGCGGAAATTGGAGGTGGAAGGTTATGTGACCTGGGTTTCTGGTTTTCGAGCACAGAGCGCGCACATCTTTGGAGGGAGGCGTAGCAGACCCAGCGGCAGCCGCGGGGCGTTGAGTAAATGAGAACCGTACGAGTGGGAGCTTGTGGGGCAGAAGCACGACCCTTGCAAACCGAAGCTTTGCGTGGCCGGCACGGCGTCGGCAGGGGTGCACCTTTTCGGGGGGGGGATCAGAGAGCCAAGACGCTCCTTTGCCGGAGCTCTTTGGACGCAATTAACGTTCTCTGCTCTTCCTTACAGATAAGCTGAAATGCACCAAAGAGGAACATCTCTGTACGCAACGGATGTTGGACCAGACTCTGCTTGACCTGAATGACATGTAAAAGACCCTCTCTGCAGCCTGCAGGCTAACCAGCCTCCCCACCCCACCCCGTTTCCCACCCCACGGCCTATGGGGCGTCTCAAGCAGCGATTCTCTGCTGGGGCCAGCTCTTTTCTGTTTTTGGGGGGGAACCCCAACCCACCACCACAAAGCTGACCTCTAACCCTCGAAGGGGGGAGAGAAGTCATCAGTTACATTCCTGATGTTTGTGGCCAACTTAGCTAAAGACCTCTGCCGAGGGGAAATAGGCACCTGGTGCAGGGATATTCTTCAAGGGAGGGAGTGTCTGAAACGCGCCGTTTTAAAGTGGGACGATATGTGGCGGTGTGCGTTGGGGAGGGGGTAACAGCCCTCCCTTGCTGAGCATCGCTCATATCGTCAAGGCTCCCGGTCACGATAGGCCTTTAAGGCGCGCAGCTAACCTTGCTGTCTTCACGCGCTCCTGCTGTTTTGGCTCATTAGCGTCAGCGGGGGTGGACGATGGACCCCTTTGATCTATAGAATAATTGCAAATCCCATAGTGCAAACCAGCAACGCTTTCTGGCATCTGCCCGAGAGGGATTAACCTCTGCAAGGAAGAGCCCCCACCCCCCCATTCCAGTTTTTGAGTGTTTAGATTTCGCTTTCTAGTAATGAGTTGGGCTGAGGTTTCCTTTCTCTGCTGTGTTTTTAATCTGTGTTTTTATAACTCTTTGTAGCCAGGGGAAACAACTATGTCAAAAACGTATCGGGGTGGTTTTTTTTTGGTTTTTTTAAGTTTCCTGTCCTCTAAACCCACGTTTAAACCATTCTCAAGCCCCTTTGCTCTCTGTCTGCACTCACCCTGTTCTCTTCCATTTCTTACACTTTGGGGAAACCACTATATCTGAATAACCAACTTCTTCCCACCTGGGCTTCACTTTCTCTGTGCTTGGTGCTTCTGTTGCATAGGGGTGTTTGTGAGGAGCGGGGCTTGAACCTTTTGGGCGCTCCTGGACGTGAGGGGTTTTTCTCCTCTATTCTAGCCAGGAGCCGATCGTACTGTCTTAAAGAGAAACTGGATGTATTGGACACCTTGATACTCTCTGAGACTTGATCCACCAAAGGTTGTGTTATTTTTTTAATGCATCTGTGTGCAGGCCTTCTGGGTCTCATAGGAGGAAGACGATACGCTGCCATGGCCAGTGTGTGTGTGGGGGGAGGATGAGGAAATTATATCAAGTGTTTTGATACTAAAAAAAAAAAACAAACCTTGGTCTTTTATTGTCTTTTTTTTTTTTTTGAAATAATAAACAAACATTCCCTCTGTCCCTCTTGTGGTTTTTTTTTTTTTTTTACTAGGATCGTAGCCATGGTAAGCTAGATCGGCACGGGGCGTTTCGGGATTGGTGTTTAGCTGCCTCTTTTGGCACAGAGCACCAGGGTAGGGTTGGCCGTTGTTGGGTTAAAATTGGGTGGGTGGGCTTGCTTTGAGCGTGTCTGCCCTGCCCTGCCCTGCCTTCTGGCCTTAATGTAGCATTCACACAGTACGTTAAAGGTTCTGATCACCCGGCGCACTGGGTAAACTTGGCTTAGTTGCGGCTTGCTCAACCAGTCAAGGCTTAGGGTGAAGGCAGCCTGGGACAGCCCCCATCTGTGTGAGAAATCAGGTGGGGAGGCCCCTCGGGCAGCAAAAATACTAGGATAGGGTAGGTCATGAAATTGATTTTATTTACCATAGCCTACTCTGAAATGATTCCTTGTTCGCTGTCTCAACCACCAGACTGTAAGTTCACACAACACATGAGCTTTATGGAGTTGGGTAGCTGGGGGTTTGTCCCAAGCTGTGCCAAGCAAGAATCTGGTTTAGAACTATTTGGATAACCCTGGTTAAGCACCAGCCCAGTGGGGCTACCAAAACTGCAGCTAGGCCACAAGGATAGAAATTCACCAACCCCAAAGCTGGGGCCCTCCACCAAGGGGGAAACACCTAGAATTCCCAGCAGATGACTCCTATTGACCCTTCTCTGCGTTGCAAGTCTTGGGGCGGCCGCTAGGTGGCAGCATCTTAAGAGCGTGGGCCGCCCCAACGGCCCCCTCGTGGCCGTCTGCAGTACTGCAACCCAGAGACGGCAGCTCTCGTCTTGCAAAGCGCCTCGCCGCTCTTCCTTTGGGAGCCCCCGCCAAGCGAATCAGATCAACGCCCCCATGCAAACTCGACGCAAGTCCCGGGAAGGAGAGTCCGCGCAGGCGCAAGAGGGAGGAAGCCTCTCTGTCTCCCCGCTATCGTCGAACAGCAAGGCACGTGGCGAACAGGGCGGGCGCGCACGCGCAGATTGACGAAATAAGCGCGAGGGAAGGACGTGCCCACGCGCGCCGGCCCTAACAGCTGTGCGAGGCGGCGCATGCGCGTCACCGCGGCGCGCGCGAGGAGCGACCCTTTCCGCCGCCATTTTTGGAGTCGCGGACGGGCCCTTTCGAAGATGAGCGCGCTTTCCCGGCGGGGTCGGGCTCCGCCGGCGCTTTTCCTCCTCGCCGTGGCGCTTCTGACGGGGCCGGCCGGGGCCTACAAGCTGAACGTGCCGAAAGTGTTGCTGCACTTCAGCCGGGACAAGCGGGTCCCCCTCCTGCTGGGCGCCGGGGGCGGGTGCTCTTTCTGGTGAGGGGGGGGGCCTCGCCCGAAAGGGGGGGGCGGGGGGGGGAGGGCACGGGGGGGGGCG